GGCAAGAACCTGATCGATTTCTCGCTGTAGCAGCCTGCCTAAAAACCTGCCTTGTTCAGCCAGCTGCTTGCCCAGTGGCCAATCAGATGCCCCAACAAGAAGCCTGCAAGCAAAGCATGAACTCAACAACACCCTCCTGCAGTTGTGCTCTCCCAGCAACTGCAGTTCAGAAACATGCTGCTTCTGTTACTGGAGGTAATTTATAGCCATCATGAGTGGCTGTTAATAACCATATCACCCAGGAACATACCTATTTCATTGTGCCCTATGTGAAGATTGCCTTCCTTTTGTCTCTCCTTGGTATCCCACAATTCAGCTCTATTAGATGACATTAAATACTAGTAGCCATTTTCTTCACCCTGCATGATTATATGCATGCCTTTATCATGTCAACTGCCCACTCTGCCATTTTTCTAAACTAAGAAGGCCATTTTGCCCCTTGTGCCACCATTGTTTGCCCAGTAGTAAAGAATCCCAAGCAACTTTGCTGCAAAGATTAGATCCCTATGAAAGGCTGGACTGCTGAATGTTTCATCTAGTCATAGTTCACCATATCCTGGAATATCCCTAAAAGAGAAGAGCTAAAGGATGGTAATGATGGTTATGATTTCACCAAATGGTATGACAGGGTCATGTGATCAAGAAAAGCTTTTATCCATTGCTAGTCCTACTTATGGGAGATCTGCTGATATAAATCAGACTTAAGACTAACACTGGATACAGCTAATGGACAGAACTCAAGACTGGTTACAGCCCATTGGATAAAACCCAAAGTCTCCCTAGTTTTAGATGAATATGGAGCACCAGGCCAAGCAAAGCAGTCTAAGGTATTCAAATCCAAGAAAATGGCTGTACAGTGAAAACATTCCTTTTTCTGAAGTATATTTCATTTTAGTTAGTTTTAGGAAACAACATACCTTCAGAAGCAATGCATGCATTCATTGTAATGAGTCAGATTTATATAGGGCATATATAATATTTAGATTTGGGAGCTAAACAAAAGGTCACACTATCACTTATTTCAGTAGCAATCAAGTAATGCTGTTTACAAATACAAAACAGTCTATTTGCTGCCTTGAATGGTAACAACAGCATTTTCATGTCTGCACCCTGTCTGTGGAGCATCTTTCTTAACCACTGGTGCTGTGCTGTAAGATGTTAGGGAGAAGTTTCCTAAAGCACAAGAAGGTTCAGCTGGTTCTCAGGAGGAGGCTGTGGGAACAGCAGGTTCTCTGAAGAGGGGCTGCTGCCACCTGAACACTTCACTGTGCATGTACAAAATGCCAAAAAAATTTGAGAGCTCCATCATAATTTGTAAACTGACTGTGCTGTATTGTTATGGGGAGAGTGTTTTTTGAGACTTTTATATACTAAATTAGGACAACTGGTCAATGCAGCAAAAAGTAAGACTGGCATCAGTTCTTCAAGAGCATAGATCTTTCCCACCCCTGCTGATCAGAAATCCAGTGATAGTAGGTTTTCTTATATGAGACGTTTGTTGCGCAGCCATGACCCTCGCTTTTAGAAGTGTTCAGGGACTTTCAAGGCAGTATCTCCCAAGTTTTCTGGCCATTTTTGCAGCTATTTTTAGAGCAAGGAAAGTGGTATTTTCCTAGACGACTGTTATTCATTACAGAAGCTTTCCATATTTTCATAATTCTGCTTTTCACCACAGTTCCCCCTTGTGTTGGGGGAGATAAGAGGCAGAGAGGAACATACCACACATAAACCCTGGGGGAAGAAAACACTGCATGAAGGATGCTCTGTTCCTCCGGCAAAGAAAATGGAAGAAGCATCCTCAGTAAAGCGTGTAGAGAAGTCCAGAATCTGTGATCTTAAGCATGCATGTGCTCTACACTAATTTAAGGACTCCTTCTCTATGTGTGATAGTGGTGGAGTGATCTAGACTCTAAAATGATCCATTGCAAAAAGTTAATTCAAAAGAAGGGGGAGAAATCAAAACACACCAACATGGTCAATTGCTTGATGTGTTCCCCCATCAGCTAATATGATAATGAAGAGTGGGCTATTGCAAGAAGAGCACATGGCATTCATGTATGTGAAATAAATTATGCACATCAAAGTACAAGGCTATCTTTGATGCAGGTTATTAACAACCCACAGCTCCCATAGAAATGGCAATTAACACAAAAAACTAACACAATGTTCTTATAAAGGAAACCGCATTGCTTGTCATTTGCAAATCATTTCATTTATGCAGTACACTAAAACCAACTAACTAAAGAGACATTAAGAGGATTTTAATACATTAATGTAGTGGCACTGGATAAAGTGGGAAGTCTTCACAAACACAGGTAGAGGTGGTAATAGGAGACGAGAGTACAGATTGTGTGCAGCAATCTAGGATAGGAGCAAGAGATAGAGGAGCCTACCTTTCACATGCTGATCAGAAACTCTGGGCCAAATCTTTGGTTGCAATTTCTATTAAATAAATTATTATCAATAGTACTAGAGGACTAGCTCCTGAGAGAGAGCATGATTTGTCCTTTATTGACCAGTGTGTCAGGAGTAAAAAAAAAATCTTGTGTTTTTGCTGAGCAATGGTTAAATAAACCAACCATGAAACACTATTTTGAAACACCATTGTCAACAATCTATTCACAAACAGGGTGGTTTCTTCTAAATAAAAATTTTGCTAGCTCCTGGAATGCAAAACAGACCTTGGAATAATATGGATTCTTGCAACCAAATTTATCTGCATATTTTCTCCAGAGTACCTTCCACTGTATTTGTGGGGTCATATAACTTCATTCTTCCCTGAGCCCGTGATGCTGCTCCGTGCTTTATGTCCCACAACAACCCCACAAACGTAGTAACTATTGGGCATAGGGAGGGAGAGAAACAACTTACTCAGCCTTTCCCAGCCTGGGACCTCCTAATATGTTGGACTAGAACTTCCAAACCCAGTCACTGTGGCCAGAATGGATGTTGTACTATCAGCCTGGCTTCCATCATGAGAAAAAGAGTTGATGGGGTTTGCCTGAGGCAAAGAACAGGATGACATTCCCTTCCCTTCTACAAAGAAAAGCCAGCTGGACTGCAATTGAGGTGGTAACGGGACAGCATCCCCTCTTGCGCATGAGGGCAGCAGGCTAGTTTAGAGAGCACAAGGCATGCAATTCTCCCTCCTTCCAGCAGGTTGCTGCCATCGCCCAGCATCTGCTGCCTGAGGCAACTGCCTCATTTGGTCTGATGAACACAGGCCTTCTCCAAGGCTGCCACAGCCTTCATCTTCAGAGCAGCCCAGTGGAACTGCTGCAGGCTGGGGGAAGAGCTCCTGATCCGGGATCTCCCGTTAGGCTTGCTTTGAATAGCCCCCTGAGCAGGGGAGGTCAAGCAGTGTCAATGTGTCAGTCAGATGCAGAGCCTGCTTGTCATTAAAGAACAAACAGAACAAATCTTGGTAGATCTAATTACACATCTCCCAGGTAAATAACATGCAGGGTAGCTGTTTTCTCAGGTACACAATGGATGACAGCCATGTGCAACCAGATCAGAATCACATTCACCTCTGACCAAACCCTGCTGAATTCAGTGGAGCGTATCTCTCTAGCAGCAGCCTCAATACTGCACTAGGAAAAAAAACTTTTCAGGAGAGCTGTCAACCCTGTACAGCTGGAGAGTTTTGAAGGTGTTAAAAACCTGCTTGTTCTTGACTGCATGTTTATCTCTTCTGTATTCTGTAGTTTTCTTAGTGTGTGCAATGTTGATGCTTTTTATTAGCTTTCTTTATGAAGGTACAAACTTCAAAGACCAATAGGTGCAGTTAACAAAATAAAAATGACTTCAAGATCTATGGCATTTACCAAAATGCCACAGATAAAAATAAATTCACAGGGAGCACCTGCAATTCATTCACCTCTGAAGGTTCCAATGGAATAAAGTAATAAAGTTCAAAAGGAACTGATACCTGTGGAAAAATGGAAGATGTCCAAGGTGGTAGAACCTATAGAATGGGTCAATCCAGTACTTGTACACAAGAGCAGAAAGAATTATGTTTGACCCAAGAGATGTAAACAAAGCAATTTGAAGGGAATGTTTCCAATTGCCTACTGTGGAAGACACCAGCAATTAGGTAGCAGAAGCAGGTGCAGTTCCAGCTGTCAGTATGAAATTCTGAATCCTGGATGCTAAAAGTTCCAGTCTTTCTGTACACTGTGTTCCGTACACTGTGTACATTCTCTTTTTAGCAAGGACAACTCTACTAGATTAACAAGTAGTATCTCTTCAGCTCCAGAGGTAAACAAAACAGTGATCCAGCAGCTATTTGAGGTGGGGAAGTACAGACTTAATCCCACAGTCTATAGATGATATGCTTGTAGAGAAGGACTGGACAAAAATCTCAAGAGAGGGTGAAATAAGTTCTAAAGGAATAATAAAAGGAAATGCAAAAAATTCTGGATCAGAAATGAAACACTTAGGCCATATTTAACTGAAGGAGTGTTAAGATCCTGTACAGCTGAGGTTGTTACAGCAAATCCTTTTCCTCTGGAACTGACATCCTTTGTTCACGCCCTTTTTACAGAACATCAAGAACATTGGCCGCCTGCCGCATTCCAGCATTTGCAGTATTGCCCACTTGTAGTTTTTCAGATTTGACTTGTGGCCATTTTTCTGGTAATAAAATGCAATTGGAGCACCAGTGTGGATACTGCAAAGAAGCAAAGCTGAACTGAGGTTTTTAAAAGCTCCTTTGCCTGCAATTAAACACTTCCTGTTTTTAGGTACAAGCCATTTTATTTTTTTCCTGGTGAGAGTAGAAGACTCATGTTAGTCAACAAATTGGTTTGTTAATAGCTTCTCAGAATTACTTGAGTACCCATTTTTGTTCCCATGGATAAAAGCTTTACTGATTTCTCTCCTTTTATTTTCTTTTTTAATAACAACATTTTACTTTTTGCTGTTGAAAAATAAGAAGTATTTTGAACCCTGAGGCATGCCATAGCCTCTAAAAGGGGAAATGTACTTCAAATTGAAACCAAAGGGCTCAGTTAACAGGAAGATGCCTAGAGTGAAGCAGGTCTAGTGAACACCTGCAGAAAATGGAAAGCCGGGGCAGCAGCCATTTTGAGATCCATTGCTGTCAGAGATGCAGAGCGCTGTTTCTTGCACTCTTCAAGCCTGTGTGGCATCATTTTACAAAGTTTGTAGCAGCAAATATTCGATGCAAATTTATTCGAGAACATCAAGCAGCACAAAATTGATGTGCTATGGAGTAGTCTTTCTATCACTTATTGGTGTAGCATATTTAAGAACTATCATCTTAACGACAAAAAAAAAATGACTTGTTCTGGTCTCTGTCCTAAACAATAAAACTGAATTAGGCAGAATTGGACAACTTGTGGTCCTCTATATGTTATGGCTTGCAATTCTTGTCAAGCCTCACCACTGGTCTGGAACTTTTAGATGTGCATTGGATATAGGCATAGCTCCTTCCTGATCGGTAAGTAGCATGTATCTTTATTTATATTGCACCATTGTGGTACATGGCTTCTTATACAGAGCTACAGAGACAACATACCTGAAACCCTGCTCAAGCAGATTACAGTATGGACAAGGGGGAAAAACATTAGACCTTGACAAATATTTAAAGGTTGGTTACAGCTAGAAATGAGGTTTAGGAGGATCAGGCAGAGGCCACAAAGAAAAGGCAGATTGTGAGAATTTGAACTAAGGGAGAGAGGCAACACTGAGCACATGTTGTGAGTTCCATAAGAGTTCCATGCAAGGACTGGGCTCATACCTCCTGCAAAAGAGCCTTCAAAGACTGTGGTATCAGAGTCTGAGACCCAGGAGCCAGAATCTACAACTGAAAGGTCAAGGTGAGCGGACCCAAAGGTACACCAGACAATCACTGAGAATCTGAGAGTTTCAGCCATTGTGGGAAAATTTAATGAGCATGCTAATATGGAGGGGGCAGACCTGGCATTATTAATCTGAGCTTATGACATGCAGTTAAGAAGAAAGACCAGTTGAGATATGTCAGATGCTCCAAGCAATTAGCCCTGAAGCAAAAGGATCTGCTTTGAAGGTGTGGTTTGCCTTTTCAGTTTGAAAGGAAGGAGAGCTATTCAGTTTGGGATCAACTTCTCATTCGTAAGCCACACTTTGCCATGGCCAATATTCTGACTTTGCATGTTTCTTTTGTTACTGACTTCTGTGATACTCTTGTTTTGTGCTTTAAAGTCAGTCTAGCTGGTGAGCTTTAACATAATAAAGCCAATTTAATGAGGAAGTCATTGTCATGGTCTACTTGGAAGGAGGAGGAGAAGAAGGGCCAGGACAAGAGCCAGGGAGAATGAGAGGCATCAAGAGAAGGAAGAGATCTGCTTGAAGGTGGCGGACACATAAGAAAAAGAGCATGAGTGGGATGAGAAAGAAGGAAGGGCAGATGGGGCAAGCTGTGGCAAACTTGAGGAATAAGGACGGGGACTTTGGACTAGATGCAGAAGGGGATGAGAAGCCAGCAAAGTGATCTGAGAATGATCAACAATTTTGGCAGTAGAGTTTTCAGCAAAGGAAAAGGATTGTGACATAAGACAGTATGGCTAGTGAGGACATGACTGCACTAGTCCAGGCAGATGATGGGCAAAGCACAAATAAGAGTTTTAGCACTTATTCTGCAATGCCATATAGGAGACGTAGCACCACCTGGCAACCAACCAAGTGAGGGAGGCAAAGGAGAAAGAATGCCAGATCCACTAGTGCAATTATGAAGTTGTTAACCAATATGGAGGAAAGGTGGACTTGGAGATGTTGAATCTGAAAAGGTGGCAAGCTATTCAAATAGCTATCAGATAGACAGGTGAGGAGTAGGGCTAGACAGAAAGGGAATGAGAAAGGTTAGAGACATAGAGCCATGATGCTTGATTAGGTCATCCTAGTGGAGATAACAGGGAAAGAGAAGAGATACTGCACAAAATGCTGATACAACAAAAGAAATGGAGATGGAAAGGGAAGAGTAAACTCTAAACAAGTAAATGTAAAGACATGATAAACAGTTAAGAACATGATAAAGGGAATGTCATGCAGATCTCAGACATGAAGGGACTCAAGAGTGTGTTCAGTTGTATCTAAAAGCCAAACTAAACAGCAGATGAAAATAAAGTATCAGGAACCTCTAACAAAAGTGAGCTTATCATCAGAATTCGTGATAGCAGGGGATGTGAAAACCCTGTGCAGCATACCCTGAATTTTTAAAGAAAGCTGATTTGTAGGGACTAGGGTAAAAGATGGGTACAATGCCATGGGTAGAAATTCTGGTGTATACAGGCTCAGTACCTCTGATTCTGCAGGCTGTTGCACTCCTGACCTGCTCATGGGTTTCCAAGAGGGGGCTGGTTGGCCCCTGTGCGAATGGAATGCCGTGCTCCCAATGGACCTTGGGCTGATCCAGCATGTTTTCCTTCTCTTCTTACACAGTGAAGATGAGTTCAAACACTCAAGTAGTCTAGCAAAGGGCAGGAGAAGAGCCAGTGTGTGGAAATCAGAGGAGAATTCAGCTTAATAACAGGAGAAACGTCTTAGCAGCTGTTCAACAGTGAAATGGATTGCCTTGTGAGGTACTGGGCTCTCATTTATTGAAGGGATTTAAACATAGACTGCATTAGCATTATATCCTGCTTTGAAGATCATGCAGGGAAAGTACCAAGGAATTGGATTAGAGGACTTCCACGATCTCTTGAGACTCTGATTCCATGAAAGGCCTGGACAGGAAGGAAGGGCTGTGACTCAATAGAACAGCACATGCCCTACATGCAAAAGATTCCAGGTTCAGTCCTTCATACCTTCCAATCCTGGGAAAGTCCAGTGCGTAAACCTGGAGAGCGGCACCCAATCTGTGTAGAGCAGGCAATACTGAGCTACAAGGCCAAATGTAGAAGGCAGCTTCCTGTGATGCAGCATTTTGTGGTCAATAGCAGGTTAAAGAGAGCTCTGAGGGCAGTGACTGGATTGCCAGGGGTACAGGCAAAGTGGAAAGGCAGAGAAAGTTGAAACAGTGGGAGGGAAAAGCATGCCTCAGGTGAACTGAGACTGATAAAAGGATGAAGCTATGTCAAAGGAAGGACTGGGACAGGTGGTGCCATCTTTGTAGGGAAGGAGCCTGGAGGTAGATAGGATGGTGACTTTATGGAAAGATAATAGAAACGGGCCATAGCTATCAGGAAGAGAACAGGAGCAAGGGGCATGAGCAGAGTTCAGAGGAAGATAGAAGAGCAGTCACCTAAGTGAGGGAGGTAGGCACTTTCCAGTGTTAGTTTTGCTAATACGAGCTAATGAGCGAATACAGGCAACTGGCCTTTATACATGCCATCAAACCTAACAGAACTGAAGCGAAACATTTTGCAATTAGCCTCAATTAGCTTTTCACATACATCCTCTCTGGAGAGTTTTACTGCCAAGGATTAGTAGGATGAGCAGAATGGTGTAACTGCTCAAGCAAAGGCTACAAATTGACCAAAACCCAGAATCACCATACAGGGCTGCATCATGCACAATGCCTATCAGTAAGCCAAGATAGCTGATATCCATTATTCATTACTTGGCTCCAGGAGGTTTCACACCAATCCTTGGTCTAATTCTTGATCCCAGGTGCCTTGGTGCTGCTTATCTGACAAATGCAATTCCAGAAATCCATGAACACAGATCACTGTTAACATTCCATGTTCCTGGCTGCAGATGATTGTGTAAAAGAGGAAAACAACACACTTTCACAACTGGCCTTTATACATTCCATCAAACCTGATCTAGGCTGTCCTGGAGTTTTGTTTTTCATATGAAGAACAAGAAGGAAAAAAGCATCTTCCTCCTGATAGGCTCTCATTTCCCAATCCTCTGCAAGGCATAATTTAAAGCATTCTTGGAATTGAATAAATTAGCACACACAAATAATAATTGAAAGTTCCCTTGTACAACAGAGGCAGCAAACCTGTTTTCTGGAAAGATTTTGGGCCAAAACCCCAGGGCCTAACTACTTATGACTCCAGCAATGTCACTCTAAATCACACTACTGTGGTTTTTTTGTATAAGCATCATGGAGAGCTTTCTTTCCCAAGTGTTGTGTGTACAAGCAATTTTTGCTGTGAATGCTTGTGCTGGGGAGAACAAAACCTTCCTTCGCGTGCACTGTGGCCCCAACAGATCTTTTCCCTCCAGCTCCTACAGTGAAATAAACAATGATGTTGCAAATTGCAAATGATGCAACCATCATCTTGGAGGTTAGGCCCTCAATATTTTTTCCCTGTCTGAAGATGGTCCCCAAACAATGAGGCATCCAAACTCAAATAGAAAGCATTTATTTTAAAACACTGGACTCATCACACTAAATATAACCCTGATGTTGCACTTAGTCCACAGGCAATAAAAACCCTTTAAAAGTACACCGTGAAGACAATGCTACACATATTAATAAGAATTTAAAAACCAAGAGCACTGAAATAAAATTCTGTACAAACTCATGCCTTTGTTGACGTCCTCTCTGGAAGTTTCTCACTAAATTGAATGGACCAATACATAGACTCCAAGTACACAGATATTTCTGCCTTTTTTGGTTTTGGTTTTGGTCATAAGAGACTTGCTTGGATCACACCATGTTCTTATTTCATATTTTTAGAAAACTCAGGCTTAAAGAAGTTCAATGTAATAGCCAAACTTCCAGTGTTTGTATACTAGCAACACAGGCATGGGCTTGGAATATCTGCAAGACAAACCCAAAGGCTTCGAAACATTGCCACTGGTGTACTCTTTCAGTTGAAATGGCAGGAGCTGGGCTGCTTTACTAACAGTTCTATGCATATTATAAGTAGTGAAAGTGGTATATACGCAGAATAATTGGTTATGAGGAGGCCAACTACTGGCCTGCTGCATGCTTTTAATTTATTTGAGAAGTCTATTGAATGTTCTCTG